GCCATGCCCGGTTGGGGGGCGGCGGCCTCTCTCTCCAGACACCGCGAAATGCCCAAAGAGCAATGCCGCCCGTGACCGAGGTTCGAACTGGCGACTGCGTGCATGGCAACAGACGCCTTAGTCCGYTCGGCCACTCCACCCCCAAATATTATTTTATTACAATTTAAAATGTAATAGTGGCACAATCACCGGGTCTTCCTATTATTTATATAAAATTTTAGTGGCCCAATTACCGTATGCCTTTGAAGAAAAAGGTGAATTGTGGCCCAATTCCCGGGCGCTCTGTAAGTCGTAGGTACAGAGAGTTTTCACTTTTGACGGTTGATCCTTTTTCCTTAATACCAACTAGTAGTACCAACTAGATTTACTTTTCTAATAGAAAATGGATTTGGAAGCGTTTTTTTTTGCCCTAAAAGGTTGGTGACCGAAAAAAAAAATGTCATTGTAAAATCAACTCATACATTGGCCCTCTAAGAATCTAAAACGAATAGATTTCTTATGTCGTTATAGACGTATAGGTAGATTGAACTACGACTACCTATTAAATATACGAGCAGTAATAGCGTACCTGCGCAGGATTTCAGTTCGGTCAGGATTTTATATAATATTAAAAAGCAGACCAGTGGTTTATATCCCTATTTACATTGTTTTTTTCTATACAGTTTTTAAATAATCGGTTTAAACAAATCACAATATTAGTCCCGAGTTTAGTATTTTAGTTTAATTTTAGAGAATTTAACCTGACCATATTATCTACAGAGCCGTCTTCAGGTCGTAATAATACACATGGTTATAATCGATGATACATGAAATGAAGACTACGCCACTATGAGGGGCAGAACTTTAGAACCCTACCGCTGCGTACGCCACTCAATGAGAGAAGGTAATTTTATTTTTACAGCAGTTGAGTTGTACCTAATTTAATAATTCTGAAAAGTCTGGTACGCCTGACAATATTTAGTGGTGGCAAATAACATTCTTCCGAGTAATATTATTATAYTGTGATTGATCGTTGTTGTGATTCCTTGTTCAACAACAATATTACATTGTATTAAAGTGATGCCATCGTGTTGGTTATTTATGAAATATTGTTTTTGAATTTAGACAAATTTTTTTTTTTTTTTGAAGTCTCGTGTTTAACTTATAATATAGAATTTATAAAGCGGGCTGGTCATATTTAACAATTTTTTTTTTTGTTAAAAAAATAAAACGTTCAATTATTTTTATTATTAATGTTATTTAATTAAATCTTARACCTAATTCATCGTTTGCTTGGCGTAAAAATATCTGGTTTCTAAAGAGGGACATTTTAGTTGATTTTGAGAATCGTTTAAACAAAGAAAATTCTTCAAACAAGTATAAAAATGTTTCTGTATAATAGCAACAAATTTGAAATATTCATAACTAGATGGTGGATTTTTTCTGAATTAAGAGACATGTCATTTTTTGATTTTTTGCATTTGGGAAGTTTTTCACGCAAACGACAATATATTATTTTTATATTATAAAATTAAGACTTTCATTAATTAATTAATTGTTTAGTTAAGACATTAGATTTATCATACTTAGTTAGGTATCTTTAAAAACATTTGAAAGTTAAAAAATATACATTTCTAATGTTGTTTTAAGACGAGAAATTAATTTTCTTTTTTTTTTTTTAGAAAAAATATAGTTGGTTCTAATTGTTTATGAAGTAAAATAAGACAAAAAAGAAAAGATTTTACTTAGCATACCATATTTTGTTCTGATAAAACTCTATTTGGTATTTAGATTTTAAGTGGGATTAGGAAACGCTGCTAATCTCCTAACGCCTTTCCTTCTCATCGTTCCAATATAATATGTTTATATACCTATTACCTAGTCAATCAAGTTTGGTTATGAATTTATGATTATGGAAAAACTGATTCTATTTCCATAATGAGCGTTTAAAAATAAACAGTCAAATAATAAGGCAGTATTGCAATAGTATTACATTATTTATTATTCATAAGTAAAAACTAATAATTAGTTTTAATAAATGACACATTATGTATTTATGTATTAGTAAAAGAAAATTTAATTTAATTACTGACATTACCTATATTCTACGTATTACATGCGCTGTGTATGTTGACGATTAAGGTTTATTGGTGTATTTTTTGGTGATACGGGATAAATTAATAATAATTTACGTCATATAAAATCGTATTGCTTAAAATATTATTATTATGAGTAAAATTCTTCTCAATTGACTTATATCTATTAATTTTTTACATGTTTAAACATAATTAAAAATATTAATTGATTTATTCTCCGTTCTACCACCTACTGTGGCCTTTCGCGTACCACTATGTAGTCTCCCACTTACGACTGGTATGCGTACTATAGTTAGATAATTGTCTGTGTTTTATAATAACTTAATCAATAGTTTTATGATTATTATCTTATAAAACAGAAATTATATCAATGTTAAGCAGCTATAGTTCTTTAAATTAAAATTAATATTTTTTAAAATACTTACCTAATATTGAAAGTAGATCATCTGTTTAATATAATACCTACCACATTTATTTACGTATTGATATACACAATTTTATACGTAATGGTTAAATACTTTGATAATACAATATTTATGAAATAAAAATTTTAATATATTTCTCAAGGCTAGTTTGATGGTTTTAAAATTGTTGGGAAGTYCGAAGTTTTATGATGTACCTACCTAACTATGATAATATTATCTACAGGGCAACGTACAGTTAAACTTATCAGTAATACATATTACCAATAAATACATTTTATAGTTTGTAAATTTCAGTCTTATAAATTGAACGAAACAATTTTTTTTTGCTTGGTCGTTAACCTTACCTAATTGTATATTATTTTGAATCAGTCAACCTCGTTGAGCAGATCGATCTAAGTCATTTAATAATACATAATAGTATGACGTCTTGGTAAGTATTATATTTTGCCATACTGCTTATAGTTTAACTTCCAACTACATTGGTCGTATAATATCTTTGATTTTGTACCGATATATATATATATATTTTAATAACGCTGTAGGTATTACAAAATTGTTTAGATTAATAACTGATAGGTACCTATAAACTTACTGTAATACTAATATATAAATATGTTTTGTTTTATACATACGATGATATATTTTTTTACTGGCTTAACTCACAACAGCCTAATTAAAGGAACTTCTGTTGCACCGACTTAACGGTTGGTAGAAACATTAGAAACAGCCCTGATGAGAAGATGTGGATGCTAAGCCCTTCTAATAAACACGTTGCTGTAATAATTACTATAATATGATGTGCATAAAAGGGATCGGGCTATAATAAATGTATACCAATGCTGTAAGCATTAAACCAATGATAATATGATATTAATGCTTAACTTAAAACTTACATTATTAAAAAAAACATAATGTTATTGAAATTAAATTACAAATATTAAAAAGTAAATATCACATTTCAGAATCATGATCTGATAATTTAAATTAAACATAGGTATAAGAGTTATACATTAAATTAATATACAATATACATATGATTCTTCCCAATKAATAGGTACTATAGTTACGATGTTTAATCTACGTCCGACACTAAAATATTGTCACAAATACCTCACCAGATATACAGATATAAAATCTATCACCCCTTAATTACATCCCTAATGTTATTTAGTTATGTATCTATATTTAAAAAAAAAATCATCTGGTCATATTTTAATCAAGGATATTATGTTTAGTTTAATGTATTGTAATAATAATTTATGTATTTTATCTAAAAAATATTGAGATTGAAAAAAATAATAAGATATATATTATATTTACAAAAAAGCATTTGAATGCACTAAAAAAAAAGTTGAATTAAAAAATATTTGGGCAGGTACTAATGCAAATTTAAGTAAAATATCAGTCAAAAAGTATGTTGTAAGTATAAAAAAATAATAATTTAAAAAAATATACCAAATCATAATACCTAATGGCAATTAAAAATGTAATTGAATTAAATATTTTAATATTCCAATTAGAGTTGACATAAAACTGTTGTCAAGTATAAAGAAAAATGTTARTACTGAATCTTTGTTGTTGTTTTTCTTTTTTTATATCTGCTATAATGAATATAAAATGGAAAAGGAAAATAATGCTTTTTTTCTTTTTACTTTTTTAATCGTTGTCGTGYTCAATTTTCTCGGCATTCTATTGTTTGCATTTAATACTGTCGCTCTCTCAATTTATTGTCGGGACACATAAGAGATCGATCAAGCTACATTAAATATTTTTAATATATACTTGAAATGGCCTGATTGATTTCAAGTTCTCGTTAGTTTCCAAAAGTATAATACCATTACTAGGTTCATCGGTATGATCAACAAAAGTTTGGTTAATTTTGATTGTAACTACCGATTGCGATTCAATTAATAGATCTCAGGAAAGTTGATATTGGGTACTTAGAGTAGTCTAATTTTCGAGATTTTTCACCTAAGAACATATCAGATTAGCATTTAACTTAGTTTAGTGGTTTAATAGTTAATACATTAGAGATGTTCAAATTGTTCTCCTAGAGCAGTATAGGCAACATTTGTAACTTTGGTTTGAAGTCAAGGGAAGGAAGAGTACTTGCTAATTTTGATTCATGATTTAATTTTATTTTGAGTCTAAGCTAGGTTGTAAATGCTGGGTATTTTTTAACTTTAACGATACGTACCAATTGACATACAGATAGGTTCATAAGCTGTGGATTGTACCTATTTATTTGTTGTTRTACAAATTAAAGATCCATAGTCGAGTTTAGAAAGTATGAGAGACTAGTAAATTGTTAATGAAATATGGTTTTTGGACCCCATGATGTGTGGGATAACACTTTTATTATATTGAATCGTGGAGAGATTGAGTTTTTCAAGAATTGATATGGTGGGTCCAGGAGCATCTTATGCCGAATGTAATACCGAGTATTTTGATGGTATTATTATTAATATTATTTATTAATTGGTGATCACTGATCACCCATTTTTATGTTTATTGAATTTTGGCTGTGCTTACGAGTAAAAACTACACCTTGTAATTTTTTTCGGATGAAAAAGGGAAACTGGATATCAATGTCCATTTCAAGAGATTATTGATGGCTTGTTGTAGGTGGTTTTGGACGGTTGCTATATGCTCTTGCTTCAACAATAAATACTAWAGTTATCTGTATAGAGAGTAGATTGTACAGGTGAGGAAATAATCTGTGTTATATTGTTGATGAACAAAGAAAAGAATAACCGAAATCGTTGATTCTTGAGAGATTCCGTTAACCTGTGATAAAACCTTGGATAGAGTTTAATTAATTCTTACTTGAAATGTTCTTGTTTACGAAATTTACTGGTAAAATTAAACATTTAGTTATGAGTTATGACTAAGTACTTCAGTAAGTCTGTTTAACACATGTGGTTTCCATGTTGTATCATAGGCTCTCATTAGATCCATACTGATCAAACCTAAGTATTGATTTTCGGAGTATTTGTTTTGTATTTCTGTGTGTAATTTGGATAGGCATTTGTATGTACCTTTATTTTTTCGGAAGTCACATTTTTCGGGAGTGAAGTAATATATGACTGTTGTAAGAAACATGTTATACRTTGATTTACGATTTTTTGGAGTCGAAATGAATTGTATGCACATTGAGTTATTTAACTAAAGTCCGAATCAATTATCTCTTAAGAGAATTCTGATATCGAAGTGTTAAATTTCCGTGTGAAATTCTTGCAAATTAACGTAGTTTATCGTTGTTCTATATACAAATGTGAAATGAAAGCTACGTATAAGTTTAAAGGTATACAAAATACTCTTATGATATTGACAATGTTGATTAGATATGTTCCACACATAAAAAAAAGAGAACAGTTGGTATTCTATTTATTATCATGCTGGTTCTTTGATGGATAAAATGACTACCTTTATATTAGGATAGCTATTCTAACTTTTTTGTTGAAATTTTGGATTTTAAGCTTGTAAAATAAGTCGTTAACTGTGCTTTTTTTCGTTTCAGAAATCAATTGTTTTAACATAATTTACCGTCATGTCAAGTGTATGATATAATATAATACAAAGGTTAACATGATGCCATTTAATGTCCACAAGTGATTTAATGGTTTACATAATATCGTGACCACTAAACCTAAATTTTGTACTAGCAAAGAAGTTCTCAAAAACATTCACTCACATGTAATTTAATAATTATTACACCGCTCTGTAATATTATMGGTATCGACAAACAACATCATGACCACCTGCAAATCTTGTATTATATTGATGAGCTTTCTAGTCTTGTTGTCTGGCGCGCCGCTATACGAGGATATGACAWGGAAAATTCAAACAGAAGCTCAAGCAAAGGTCAGTATAATGATATAATCATATTTTTATATAGATTTAAGACCGTTACAAATTGTTATTGATGGCGAAGTTGCGTTTTAAATCTTTTCCAAATAGAAAATCAATATTTTCAAACGAACCTATTTATTTAAAACACACATAACTTACAGCAGTTTTAAATATTTTATAATATGCTCTAACACTTTTTTGAATACATATGTAGACATATACAGGGTATCCCACAGAGATCTGACATTCTGACAAATGAAATAACTTTTGTTCTAATCAATATTTTTTTTTAAATTTCTTTTAAATATAATCTATAGACACTTGCGCTACATTTTTAGAATACATTTTTTATTTTTTAATACTGAAAATAAAAAACTTAAAAATTGATAAAAATTTTTATCGAAATATTCAATATTGCCAATTTGTAAATCTGATTTTTAGAAAAAT